TTAAAGAAAGACAAAAAGAAAGAAAGAAAGACAAAAAGAGAGAAAGACAGAAGGAAACAAAGAAAGACAAATGAAACAAAGCAAATAGAAAAAAAAACATTGGTAGATGCTTGACAGACAGAAAAATTAACAAAAGAAAGAAAGAAAGAAAGTAAGAAAGAAAGAAAGAAAGAGAGAAAAACGTTCCTAGATGCATCGCATACATAAAGATTGATAGAGATAGGCTGAAAGAAAGAAAGGAAGAAAGAAAGAAAGATAGTAAGAAAGGAAGAAAGAAAGAAAGAAAGAAAGAGAGAAAAACGTTCCTAGATGCATCACATACATAAAGATTAATAGAGATAGGTTGAAAGATAGAAAGAAAGAAAGAAAGAAAGAAAGAAAGAAAGAAAGAAAGAAAGAATGAAAGAAAGAAAAATGCATCACGTACCGAAAGATTAATGACGATAGGAAGAAAGAAAGACGAAAAAGAAAATGTTTGTAGAAGCATCGCAGACAGAAGTATTTTTGAAGTTATAAAGAAAGAAAGAAAGAAAGAAAGAAAGAAAGATGAAAGCAAAACGAAATAAAAACATTTGTAGTTGAATCGCACAGGGAAAGATTTCTGAGTATATGAAGAAAGAAAGAAAGATAGACAGAAAGGAAGAAAGTAAGAAAAAATCAGAGAAAATTGATAAATAAAGAACACAAAAAAGAAAAGCGTCTGTAGATGCATCATAGACTGAATATTTATGAAGAAAGAAAGAAAAAAGAAAGAAAAAATGAAAGAAAGACACGGGTAGATCCATCAAAGACAGAAAATTTAAGAGGACATGAAGAAAGAAATTAAGAAACAAAGCAAAGAGAAAAAGAAAGAAAGAATGCAAAACGAAAGAAAAACGTTTGTAGATCGCAGAAGAAGATATATGAAGAAAGAAAGAAAGAAAGAAAGAAAGAAAGAAAGAAAGAAATTAAGTAAAAAGTAGATATATGAGGATATGAAGAAAGAAAAAAGAAAGAATGAAAGAAAAAAATCATAAAATGAAAATAACCTTTGTAGTGCATCGCAGACAGAAAGATTTATGAGTATACGAAGAAAGAAAGAAAGAAAGAAAAAAAAAGAAAGAAAAAAGAAGGAAGGTAAAAAGAAAGAAAAACCTGAGTAGATCCGTTGCAGACAGAATGATTTATGAGGGTATGAAGAAAGAAAGAAAGAAACAAACAAACAAACAAAGAAATAAATCTAAAAGAAAAAAGAAAGAAAGAAAGAAAGCAAAAAGAAAAATCATATATGCATTGCAAACAGAAATATTTATGAAGATATGAAGAAAGAAAAAAAGACTGCAAATAGAAAGAAAAAAGACAGAAATCAAAATGAAAGGAAAACGTCACTAGATGTATCACAGACAGAAGATGTGAGGAGGATACGAATAAAGAAAGAAAGAAAGAAAGAAAAAAGAAAGAATACAAAAACAGTGAAAAAAGAAAGAAAGGCAAAAAAGGACGCAAAAGAAAAACAGCGTTTGTAGATGCATTGCAAGCAAAGATTTAGAAGGATATAAAGAAAGAAAAAGAAAAGAAAAACGTTTCTAGAAGCATCGCATAGAGAAAGAATAATTAGAACAGGAAGAAAGAAAGAAAGCAAAAAGAAAGAATACAAAAAGAAGTGTAAGTATTTGTAGATGCATCTATGAAAGTTATGGAGGAAAAACGTAAAAAAGGAAGAAAGAATTAATGAAAAAGAAAAGAAACATGAAAACAAAATGAAAGTATAACGTGCGTAGATGCATCGCGGACAGAAAGATTTATGTCGAAAGAAAGAAAGAAAGAAAGAAAAAGGAAAGAAAGACAGACAAAAAAGAAAAAAGAAAGAAAGAAAGGAAAAAGAAAGAAAAACGTTTGTATATACGACGTAAACAGAGTGACGTGAGAAAAAATAAAGAAAGCAAAGAAAAAAGAAAGAAAGAAAGAAAAAGGAAAGAAAGACAGAAAAAAGAAAGAAAAAGGAAAGAAAGAAAGAAAGAAAAAAGAAAGAAAAAAGGAAAGAAAGAAAGAAAAAAGAAACAAAAAGGAAAGGAAAACGTTTGTATATACGACGTAAACTGAGTGACGTGAGAAAAAATAAAGAAGCCAAAGAAAAAAGGAAGAAAGAAAGAAAAAAGAAATAAAAGGAAAGAAAGAAAGAAAGAAAAAAGAAAGAAAAAAAGGAAAGAAACAAACAAAAAAGGAACAAAAAGGAAAGAAAAACGTTTGTATATACGACGTAAACAGAGTGACGTGAGAAAATATACAGAAACCAAAGAAAAAAGAAAGAAAGAAAGAAGAAAAATGTCTGCAAATAAAAACATCTCTAAATACATAACAAAAAATGACAAAGAAATAAAAAAAGTCTTAAGATGAACACAAATAGAGAAATAGGGAAAGAAAGAAAAAGTGCGTTCGTAGATACGATGCAAACATATGGGTGCGTTAGGATATGCAGAAAGAAAGAAAGAAAGAAACAAAGAAACAAAGAAACAAACAAATTTTGCCATAGAGTAGCGTCGACGACAAAAACCAAAACTGCGAAGAAAAGTGCCTAAAATCTTTGTTGATGGAAAACGCAATAAAAAACGAAAACAATACACAGACAAGATAGAAAGATGAAGAAAATGAAGAAAATGACGGACGACAAAAACAGCAGTGAAAACAACAACCAGATTGCAAAAAAAAAAACAACAGCTTTCATAAGGAAAGTAAAAGAAAACCTTGAGAAAAGTATCAGAAGGGCACAAAGACTCCTCCTCTCCTCCTCCTCTCTCTCTCCCTCCCCCATCTCTCCCTCTCTCTCTCTCTCTCTTTCCCTCACCCATTTTGCTGTATGTCGGTCATGTACACTAAAACCCTCCCTCCCTCCCTCAGCAACCAACGCAATAATTTCTTTTCAATTTGATATTTTACTGCAGGTCGTATCTAGCAGATTTTTTTTTCTTTTTTTTTGTTCACAATGCGACTTCTTGTCAAATGCGAAACGTAAGTTTCTCCAGGCATTGAATGAATTTTTTTTTTTTTTTGTGATGAATTTGATTAAATAAAGCAGAGAGATCTGACAAGGATAAATTCAGGGTGGCTGATTCTGGAGAAATACATAAGAAGTCTCTTCTTCTTCTTCTTCTTCTTCTTCTTCTTCTTCTCTCTCTCTCTCTCTATATATATATATATATATATATATATATATATATATACGACTGTTTATTTGACAATAATTTAAATGTCTGCATACAACAGTGAACACAATTCAGTAAAGTTTCTTCAAATACTTATTCTTACCATTCAATCTAAAATCTGTTTATTCACTTCCATTTTAAACGTTTTCGATTTCAAAGTTCCACTTTCTATAGAAAGCAAGTCTTGAACCAAAATATTTAAATGTTTAGGTTTAAGACTTGTTTTCATATCTTATGAATTTATAAAAATACCTATATATTAGGTTTACATTAATTCATTCGCTTTTTCCTATAATTTATCTTAATACTTATTATTTATTAATAGTGTTGATGAATTATTCAACAATGTATTCTCCTTCATTGTTTACGACCTCCTGCCAACGATCTACTAACTGTCCAGATTCTCGACGACAGAAAACATTAGGTTTTGAGGCACAAAATTAATCAAGTCACGTTTTAAGCTCCACATCGTTGTTGAACAAAGCACCCCACAAATTGTTAGAAAGTCTTGTAAAGTGATGGTAATAAAGGGATGAAATCAAGAGAATATGGTTGGTGTGGCAATTTTTTCCCAACCGAGTTTTTTTAATTGTGTGTTTGGTCTTGTTAGCGACGGGCTGGCGAGCATTTTCATGGGGAATAATCACGATGCATCATCAGTTCAATTAAATTGCCTCTCTGGGCCTTTTTGTTCAGCATACTGCAGTTTCTTTGTTTTGAAGCATTTGCTATCATTCCGTCAGTAATTAAATCATCTCCGTACATAGCACAAATGTCTCGAGCAGTTTCGCCAGATTTGTGACTAAATTTGTGTCGAAATACACCTTTCTTGTCTATTTCGCATTCCATATCAAAGGGGTGTCTAACATGAAATAGCCTTAAAAAAACAGTTCCACATGATTCCAGAGTTACTATGAAGCAGACAATGCTACGAATGATTATTCTTCTTTGAGATCATTCGCCGAACATCAGAAAAAAAAGGAACATCTATGCAACAACCTATATATATATATATATATATGTTTGTGTGTGTGTGTGTGAGTTTATTTATTATTAGGTGTTACATTAGAAAATGCATCTTACCAACTTTAACGTTGAAAAAGATGTGCAGTTTTGTTTTCAACTTTAATTTTCTAAACAAGATCATAATTTAAAACACACACACATAATATATATATATATATATATATATATATATATATATATATATATATATATATATATATATATCAGGTTTAATCAGGTGGGATGTAACACTGCATAATAGACAAATATTTATTGCCCTTCTTTCGTATTGATCCCTGTTTTAAATTAATGTTTTGAACGCTGAAATCTTACTCTTAGTATATTTATATATATATATATATATATATATATATATATATATATATATATATATATATACTAGGAGGCGTTGAACAGTTCACGGTAGGACCTACTTTCCAAAACAGAACATCAAAGTTTTGGGGAAGAACCTCTTGGTTGGATTGACAACTTTACAGTATCACATCGTACATGCCTATAAACGTATAAATAGTTAAACAAATACGCAGACTCTAACGCTTCGCTATAGAACCTTCAAGATATAAAAGTGCAATTACTACTAAAACCTGAGCAGCCTCACTTGGCGCGGTCGTAATGCTATTCTCTACGACATTTAACAAAAATAAACTAAAAGCAAATAGAATAAGATGCGAGTTCAGTTATTAAGCTGATCTTCCGAGAATGGTGCCCACTACCGCTTAGAAAACACCAATCTCGGGCTTTTGGGTTCAGATATCTCGAAGACGTTCGGCAATGTTTGGCATGCTGAGCTTTTCCACAAGCTCAAGAGCTACGGTGTCTCTGGACGATTATTTGGCTTTATCCGATCGTTCCATTCAAATAATCGTGTAATTAAGCTCACATTAAACGAACACGCTTCTCGTTCTTTGCACATTAATGCAGCGGGTGAGGGATCAGAAAGAACGTATGTACAAGGATATATCCTTGTACATACGTTCTTTCTTATCTTCATCAAAGACCTTCCTGATGACATCAGCTCCTTACCCGATTTTTACGTTGGTGACACAATTGTTTCACTCCTGTCTTCGTAACAAGTCTGACTGGCAACGATTCTCTAAAAAGACCTCCAATTTAGGCTATCTATCTATCTATCTATCTATCTATCTATCTATCTATCTATCTATCTATCTATCTATCTCATTCTGTAACTGCCTATCTATCTATTTATCTCTTTCTATCTAATTATGTTCTTTCTTTCTTTCTTTCCATCTATCTATCTAACTATCTATATATCTGAATATGTTCGTATCTATCTATCTATCTATCTATCTATCTATCTATCTTAATCAGCTCGTATCTATCTATCTATCTTAATCGGTTCGTATCTATCTATCTATCTCATTCTGTAACTTCCTTTCTATCTATTTATCTCTTTCTATCTAATTATGTTCTTTCTTTCTATCTATCTATCTATCTATCTATCTATCTATCTGAATATGTTCGTATGTATGTATCTATCTATCTATCTATCTATCTATCGATCTATCGATCTATCTTAATCAGTTCGTATCTATCTATCTATCTATCTTAATCGGTTCGTATCTATCTATCTATCTATCTATCTATCTATCTCATTCTGTAACTTCCAATCTATCTATTTATCTCGCTCTATCTAATAATGTTCTTTCTACCTTTCTATCTATCTATCTATCTATCTATCTATCTATCTACCTGAATATGTTCGTATCTATCTATCTATCTATCTATCTATCTATCTATCTATCTTAATCGGTTCATATCTATCTATCTATCTCATTCTGTAACTTCCTTTCTATCTATTTATCTCTTTCTATCTAAATTATTCCTTTTCTTTTCTTCTATCTATCCATTCTATCTATCTTATCTATCTGAATATCTATCTATCTATCTATCTATCATCTATCTATCTATCTATCTATCTATCTATCTGAATATGTATCTGTATCTATCTATCTATCTATCTAATCAGATCATCTATCTATCGATCTATATCTATCTGAATATGTTCGTATCTATCTATCTATCTATCTATCTCATCTATCTCATTCTGTATTTCTATATCTATTTATCTCGCTCTATCTAATTATCTTAATCAAAAGAAAAATGACATGTCACATCTATCCTTTTATCTGACATCAGTTGAAATCGGTCATGTATTATGCGTGATCGCATCAGACGATCATGTATCTTTCGATACATGACTGATGATCTGATATCTGGTTTCCATTTCTATCTGCGGTAGACCAGTTGCCATCCAAGGCTCTAGAACTTAGAATCCGATCTATCTATCTTATTCTGTTTCTTCCTATCGATCAATTTATCTCTTTCTATCTTATTATGTTTCCTTTCTCTCTATCTATCTATCTTCCTATCTATCTGTATATGTTCGTATCTATCTATCTATCTATCTATCTATCTATCTATCTATCTATCTATCTATCTATATATATATATATATATATATATATATATATAGAGAGAGAGAGAGAGAGAGAGAGAGATCCTTCTGTTCGTTCCTATCTAACTATTTATCTCTTTCTACCTAATTATGTTCCTTTCTATCTACCTATCTGAATATGTTCGTATCTATCTATCTATCTATCTATCTATCTTGACTCTTCCCGATGTTAAGAATAAGTTTTATTTTTCGTTTCCATTTACTCTGAAAAGATTCGTCGTTGCTCACATATTCTGGCAATGTTATCCTCGGGATCCTTCTGTGGGCGATGTTGTGAAAACGTATTCCTAAAATATAGTATTTTGAGTGAAAAATGAAAAGAATTTTATTTTAATCTAAAACTTATATGTACGTTTGTCGAGCATTAATCTTGCGCGACGCCGACGTGATCATATTGAAACGGAACGCAGATCTTGAAAACTTTCAGTTGTCTGTTTTGATTAGACTTACTCTTATGTCCATCGTCTTTTCATGTTGAATTAAATATAGTCTAATGTTAATTATGTTTTATGAATATGTCCTGAAGATGGTCTACTAGATCGGAACGTCCAACGTTGACATTATATTAACATTAAAACAGATTGCATATTAGGATTTTTGTTTGTTTTTTCCGTATATTTTTATTCATACTGTCGGATCTATATCCATAATTTGCATACATATATATATATATATATATATATATCTATCTCACTGGATTATTTTTTAATCTATTTCATTCTTCAAACTTTAATGCGGACACATTTCAGTTGAAACAGACGCTCTATCTATTAGTCTTAGCATTCGATAAATCTTAGTAAAAAAAAGGTGTCCAGG